ATCATATATATATATGTATAACCACACCATATATATAATAAAGGTAACTTTATAATATTTTTAGTGTACATGAAGCTTGACTGTAACTTGTCACATGAGATCAAGTATGAAATTTTCTACTTATAGCATCATGTTGACTCTCAGAAAGCTTCAGACTTTGGAGTTTGTTGGGGTTTGGGCTTCTGGATTAGGGGTACTCAATTTGTAGAAGTATATAAAGGAGCAAAACCCCAGAATCAACTCAACTTCTTTCTGAGTGGAGATTGAGTAAATTTTAGAATAGTCTAACAGTAGAGTATTATATAGCAGTGAACATGATTATGTTAATACCTGCAAAACTCTGAAATGTTTTAAAATTAATTGTAGCTTTGTGAAGATGTAATTTACCTACTCTAAAATACACAGACTTGAAGTATTTAGTGTGATGAATTTTTTTGTGAGTACCTTTGGTAGCCATCACCCGGAGCAATATAGAGAACATTTCTGCTCCCTTTAAAAGTTCCCAGCACTGGTGAGATAGCTCAGCAGACTAAGCACCTGCTTAGGCAAGCGTAGGGTCCCAGCTTCGATCCCTGGTACCCCACGCTGTGCCAGCTCCACCCTCGGGTGCTTTGAGCCACTGACCGTGTCTGGGTGTGATGGCGCACTCCTGTAATCCCAGTGCTGGGGAGGCTGAAACAGGAGGCTCACCATGAGTCCAAGCTGCTTAGTGAGACCTTGTACCAAATACATAAAATTAAAAAACAAAATTTCCCAAGGTAACAAGATAGCTAACATAATTACATTACTAGTTTCTATTGGTTTGTTGAAAGGAACAGTTAATGCTTAATTTTTTGACCAATTTCACACGCTTATATCTGATAATCTGAGTAATTTGAAGACAACAATATGCAATACAACAACCATTGTTGAATTTCTGTCATCTTATTTTTTGACATTCTGTATCATTTATAATTTTTTTATTATTTTTATTGTCTTTAAAATAAAAGATAGTTCCCAAGATAATGAAGGCCATTTTCTATGCTTCCCTTTAGAAGATTTTTATGTTTTCAAATTCAAATATTTGTTACATTCATGAATTAATTTTTATGGCTATTGTGACATAGGCATTAGGTTCACTTTTTCTTCTGTCATGGCTATAGCAATGCAGTTTTTTTCATAATTTTATTGAGAAACAAATAGCAATGAGACAGTTTCAAATCAAATTGGTAGGACAGTTTCAATAATTAACACATTGCATACATTCTTCCTAGTGGTTAATTGCTGTACAAGATGCGGACATGATATCCTATTTACAAACACCATTAAAACAAATCCCTCTATTCATTAAGAGAATGTAACTGTATATCTATCCTAACCACTTTGAATACACAGATACAAAATGGACATTCATCTGTATCCCCTTTTTTGGTTAAGTTCCGTTATTTGAATATTATAGGTGTGTAAACTCAGCAAAATATTCTAAAAGAGTCCAGTAGTAATGCAGTTTTGAACGACAAAAGTACCAAGGCATGATGCTCATTTTATGAAGTTAAAACCCTTAAAGAAACCTTTCTTCCTTGCACTTGCCAGGGAAGCACTTATTCCCCTGAGCCATCTCCCTAGCCCCCACTTTCTTTCTTACCAACAATTGAACTCATGATCTTCCATTTACCAGACAGGTGCTTATGCCACCGAGCTCTCTCTCGAGCCCTCTTTTTGAATAATTATAAATATAATAAAAATATAAAAAGGAAGCAAGGGAAATAAAATAACAAGGCCTTGAACAGTAGTTACTTTAGGTGATAGAAGGCAGGAAGACACAAGGGGAGAAAAATCATTGTACCAGATAAATGAGTGCAACAACTGTGTGTTTTCTAGTTTTGCGGTTATTTTATAGGTGTTTATTAAATTACAAATAAATAAGTGTTAAATATTTGCATAGATTAATGATAAAACTATGAGGTGGCGAGGATATCAGTTCAGTTCCTGTGCATCTGAGTTTCAATGAGAGATATTTAAATTTCTATGATGAAATCAATCATGAAGGCTGGGGAGATGGCTCAGTAGAATAAGTGCTTCCCTGGCAAGCACAAGGGTCTGAGTTCAATCCCTGGTTCTGCCAAAAAAAAAAAAATCATGAAAAGTGATTTTAACACTTCACCATCTGAAAGTTTTTTTTCTATTCTGTTGCAAGCAAAGAAATAAATAATCTCACTTCTAAAGTATTGTGTTGGTGTTCCAGATGTTTTTCTTTAAACATTTAAGTAAGATTCCAGGTAACTGAGAGCTGTGGCTTTTTTGTTTATTTGTTTATCTTATTGTGAAGTGGAAAAGCTTACTTTAAAAATAATATAGAAAGAATTACTGCAAAACCTTGCTCAAGCAGATGAAGGAAATCGAGGGTCTTGAGGTTGAGTCCCTGCAAACTATCTCCACCCACACTTCCCTTGGAAAATCTGGGTGTACAGATTTTGTACAGCCAGCTGTTCGCTTACTCCAGTTTGACGAATACTACTTTGAAATTTATTGAGTTTGAAAGCTCAGAGACATCTCGTAACTAGAAATTTTTTGGCAGGCAGTTGGAAATGTACTTGCGGAATAAGGTAATTTAATTTCTTAGGCTCTTTCCTCCCGAGAATAGGAGTGTCAACCCTAAGCTTATCTTTCACACTGTTGCTGCACTTGCAGGAAGAAAATCACTGGGCTGACTTTGTTAGGAAAAACTTAGAAATGGCCCCAGTGCAGTGGATTGTGTTCGTGGTGGCTGCTCCCTGCACATGCTGCTGCTTTGGGCTTGTCATCAGGACATGCTTGGTAATTTCCCTGAGTGCTTTCTGGTTTTTTGTCTGAAATTTACATTATATCTTTTCTTACTGTAACTATCATTAATCTGATAAAGGTGATAGTTGACACTATGCATGGTAAATGATATAAATGGTAAACAAAACAAGAAAAATGTTTTTTGCACTTTCTCTCTAAAGATAATCTATAAATACCTTGCATATCTTTTCAAATACATTCTGTACAGTTTTATGTATACATTTTACACAAATAGGTTCACATTATATAGACTATTTTTTTCACCTAATGTGCAGGAAAGATTGGCTTTTTTAATGTATTTAGTACAGGGTCTACAGGGTCTCACTACACAGATCGCACTCCTGGTGATCTTCCTGTTTTCAGCCTCCCAAACTCTGGGATTACAGGCGTGTGCCACCACACCCAGTCTCAATCGCTGGACTCAGTATGCCCCGGGGGCAGGGTCAACACGGCATGTGATGCCAGGATTGAACACCAGTCTCTATGCTCTGCCTAAGCAGGTGCTTTAGACTGCTGAGCTATCTGGTCGGCTCAGGCTTATTTTTTTAAGCAACATTTTATCCCAAACTACAGATACAGTATTGTTTTGTAAATAGCCCTCTATGAATATGGAATGTTTAAATTAATGGTCTTATAAATATACATTTTCATACTGTATAAGCATTATGTATATGATAAATTCAGAAGAATAGAATTACTTGTCAGACAGAACCTGGATTGTGTGTTTTAATAAATTATTGCTAATCCTTTCTTTCTTAAGTAGCTAGTAAATAAAGTGTTTGTTTCCTCACACCCATATGAACACATGGAGTGATCAAACTTAAATTTACATCCACCTGTTATATGAAAATTGGCACCTCATTGTCTGGATTTTACTTTGTGAAGTTGAGTATCCTTTTATATGTTTTCACAAAAAATGTTCTCTTTTTGTTGAAAAATTTGCTCCTGGTAATATTACAAAGTAAAATATTTTAGCTCTTTACAAAAGTAGTAGATGACTATAAGATAAAGATCCAGAATGTTTCCTTTAAATTTGCTTATTTTGTTTCACGCCTTCTCACTCCAACTCATACATTCAATCATTAAAAGTCCTCATTAAATGTGTATTTTTACAAAACACTGATAGAAAGTCTCTTTAAAAGTCAAATTATTAGTTTACACACCTATAATATTTAAATGATGGAATTTAACAAAAAATGAGGATACAGATGAATGTCCATTTTGTATCTGTGTATTCAAAGTGGTTAGGATAGATATATAGTTACATTCTCTTAATGAATAGAGTGATTTGTTCTAATGGTGTTTGTAAATAGGATATCATGTCTGCATCTTGTACAGCGATTAACCACTAGGAAGAATGTATGCAATGTGTTAATTATTGAAGCTGTCCTACCAATTTGGTTTGGAAAAAAAAAAGTCAAATTACTATTAGAAGAAGTATGATCGGGTCTGCATTTGTGGAGCCTGTCTACTAAGGAATTAAATCCAAATCTTACCATTTGACCAATGTTTCTCCATGAGTGGTTTTTCTAATTTTTCAAAATAAAATTGTCTCAGGTATCTGTTCATAAAATAAGTCCAAATGTATTAATTAAAAATCAGAGTTCAAGGAGATTATGGGACCACAGAGGAAAGTGATCAATGATGTATAGTGTGCCTAAGCAGAGTCACATGGAGAGAAGACATTCTCTCAGGCTTTCACAGAGAGCACATTGGCCAAGCAGTGGCTGTGACACATCCACATGGCTGACACTGACAAAGGATCTACAAAGTGCAGTACAGGATTTCAGGTTAAGTCCTGAGGGGATTTGACTGACCTTGGCAGATACAAAAGTTACATTTCTTGTTATGTAAGTCTTGATTTATCTTAGTCTTCGCCATCCAGCAGAAAAGTATAAAAACGAGGTATAAAAGTGAAGCCATATTAATATGCTGAGCTATAAAAGGCTCAAGTCAACAACTTCTGACACTGCCAGTCCTAGAGATAACCCACTACTATTATGGGCTACTGGACTATATTGGATTATTTTGCTGAATTCACACACCTACAATATTTAGATGGTGCTGGTTCCCCGGCCATCTTGGCTGCTGCTCCTGGTTGAGGGCCGTCCGCACCTAAGACAGGAAGATGGTGGCCGCAAAAAAGACGAAAAAATCTCTGGAGTCCATCAACTCTAGGCTCCAACTTGTTATGAAAAGTGGAAAGTACGTGATGGGGTACAAGCAGACGCTGAAGATGATCAGACAGGGCAAAGCGAAATTGGTCATCCTTGCCAACAACTGCCCAGCCTTGAGGAAATCTGAAATAGAGTACTATGCTATGTTGGCCAAAACTGGTGTCCACCACCACAGCGGCAATAATATTGAACTGGGCACAGCATGTGGAAAGTACTACAGAGTATGCACACTGGCAATCATTGATCCAGGTGATTCTGATATCATTAGAAGCATGCCAGAACAGACCGGTGAAAAATAAACCAAGCAGAATTTTTCATGAATAAAACCTGCCATAGCTTGTTAAAAAAAAAAAAAAAAAATTTAGATGGTAATGGAATACCCATCTCTGACAAAACTAAATGAAAAAAGGTGATACAAATGAAGGACCATTTTGTATATGTATATACAAAATAGGATAGATATACAGCTACTTTCTCTTAATTCAATAAGAAGAAAGATTATATTAATAGTGTTTGAACAGGATATCATGTCTGCATCTTGTGCTATGAATAACTACTATGAAGACAATATGCAATGCCTTTATTATTGTAACTGTCCTACTAATCAGTTTTGAAACTGTCTCATTGCTATTTGTTTCTCAATAAAATTAATTTTAAAAAAGTCAGAGTGTCTACTTGTGACCACCTCAGATTACCATACTACTACTGTAGCCAACAAAGTGAGATTAAAGGATAGTGTTTTAATGGTTAAGTGCCATATCACCCCAGTGATTTCCCAAACAATTTTACTCTATGTTTGTTTGGTTGGTTGGTTAATTTATAATTTCTACTGAACTAAAAATTGCAAGACACATTGCTGTTGGCCACTTATTTTGGTTATCCCAAGTATCTAGTGCAATTCTTCTTTTAGCATCTAGCAAACAAGAAGTTGGTGGTATATTAAAGGATTTTAGACAAGGAAAGCAGGAACTCAATACTACAGAGAACCAGATCTAGACTTGATATCACAAGTGAATAAAGGGGACAAATTTCCAAATAGTAGAGCGTTTTGTGATGATCATACTCCTAACTTAGATCCTTTGCTTTTTCACAATTTCTTTGAAAGGAGAAATAGGGCAATTTCTCTGAGTCCAAAGGCATTGTAGTTTAACCACATAGTGTTAAATTGCTAACTCTGAGGCACTTTATATGTATATATGGTTGAGAATTTGAAGGATTGTTATAGATGAAGATTCCACGTGACACAGGCAACCCTCGCTTTGCATGGTATTGCAGGATGGAAATATGATAATGCAGGCTGAAACTGGCAAAATGATCTTAACAATCAGTGGGAAAATCTATGCTAAAAATTGTTGGTTGTAAATATATATTGTAAAGTGAAACAAATGTAAATAGTATACCATAATATAGAATATCAGAAACATGAATTAAATTTTATTTTTTTGTAAAAAAAAAAAAAAAGGTATCAAGATTAGTGTAAATAGTGCCTGATTTGTTCTTGTCATATAACTTATCATGTAGAAGAAGTGTCAGTTTTATGCCTTGGCAAGTTTTTATACTGCTTTATAAGTTTGGATCAGCTTCCAGCATTTTCATTTTTAATGTCACAGAGTATTTCTAAATGTTCTTTTTCTGTATGTGTATTTTTAGGGAAGGGTCTACAGGGTGTTCAGGGTCTCACTACTAGCTCAGACTTACAGGGATCTGCCTGTTTACAGCCTCCCAAGAGCTGGGATTACAGGTGTGTGCCACCACATCCAGTCTCATTTGCCTTCTCAGCACACCCTGGGGGTGGGGCCGGCATGGCAGGCCCAGGAATTGAACCCCTGGCCTGTGCACCTGCTTGCATTAATCTCCTGAGCTATTTGGCTGGCCCTTCTGAATGTTCTTTTAACACCTTACCACTTCCTCCAAAGCATCCTCATCCTTTCTAGAACAACCTTTCTTCACTTATATTGACCAGTGTTCCTCTATTAATCCTCTTGCACTACACATCTAGACTCTTTAATAGCAGCATTGTCAGTATTCCCACAAGCAACTATTTTTCTTCTGGTATTCTTGGTACCTTTGATTAAATTTCACTTCTAGCATTATCATTTTTATTTCTTTGCTCCACTTTCAGCTTTGTCCATCAACTCCCTAGGAGTTAAGGAGGCACCTCAACTGCATACCTAGTTAGTTATGTGTGTGTGAGGTGAACAACAGATACCCAATGTCCAATGACCAACAAGCTTTGAGAGGATTAACAGGATTGGTCTCAGATCATACATACCTGTTTGACCTAGTGCTAGCAGCTTTATGCAGTGTTAGTTA